GGGAGGTCGGTCGGTGCGAGCCGGGCCCGGGCCGCCTGGCGCACTTTCTCCCGATTCCGCAGAGATTTCACTGACTCTGTAGCCTCCCCCCTGCATTTATGCGTCGTGGATCTGAAAAGCTGTTTTATACGTTGACAAGAGACCTTGAGAAATACCTTTTATTAGGTAAAACAGGTGAAGGAAGGAGAGACAAAACTGCCAAAATAGCCTCAAGAAGTGCCTTTTAAATACAGAAAAACTGTCACCAACCCCGTAGCAACATCTGCGTGAAGGTGTAGCCTTTCAGAGCGGATAACCAAGGAGCACGCCCTTCTTCCCAAGAAAAAGGAAGCAATTTCTACCTGAATTCCTGCAGAGAGAAGGCTACCTCCCTTATAAAGCTGGAGAACAGCCACGTTTATAAGTAGTTAGTAAATAAGCTTCCACCAAAACAGTGATACAGAGTATGCACGTGTCGCTTGCAGGGATCCACAATCAAGTAGGCAAAAGTCTGTTGGTGGCTTTTGCTTGAAGGGTAGCATAAGCCATTATCATCCTGAGAGAAAGTAAAAAAACCCACAGTATTAGAAACAACATAGATACCCATGAGAGAATTCATAAAATCTGAATGAAATGTAGCATTTTGTTCCAATGGTAACAATTTATTTCATGGCAAAATAGAATAAATACACCATAATTTATTTAAGCAGCATTATGTCTCCGTGAGGATCCTGACGCCACGAAATGCACGCCAGTTCTGTCTGCATAGTTCCAGTAATCTTGAAGTAAATGTAATATGAATATAAAATGTAAAATTAAAACATGTAAGCATGTGCTTATGCCATTAGAGCATAAAATACAGATGATTAAATACACAACAGCCCAATCAACGTTTCCTTTGGACCAGAACAAAAAGTTTGGGGTCTATATATTAATACATAAAGCTGTTCTATCAGTAATTCTTTCTCACTTAACATTTGCTAATGCGTCTGTTCAGTTTCAAATATTTGCATTTAAGGAAAACTTTCATTACAGCTCTTATTAACAACTTTGAACAGTTCTCCAAAATATTTTGTGTGCCAATACTCAGAAAGGGTTTGAAGGGAATCTAGGCACCTAGCTTCAAAATCCTCATGCTGAAAAAACATGTTCAGCTGACAAGCAACACAAGAACTGGGCTCTTCAATTTAACATCCTACGTCTGCACATGTCAATAAAAACTTCAGCACTGACAGGGCAGCACAGCTTGACACACACTTCAAATCCAGTAGGGATCCAGGAACTACATAGGGGGATCTTTGGAGGGTTGGATTTTTATTTTTTTTTTTCAGTCTGGTAACTGAACATCTAAAAGACAAGCAAATAAGTAGCTGACACCTCCTTTCTTTTAAAATATGTAACAGTTTCTTCCTGCTCCCCAACAGCTTTATACAACAGTTGAAGAGATGTAGGTTCTGTTTCAATTTTTTTGCCTAAGAGAAATTGCTATATTGCATATATTGTCCATTTTCTCCAGAAAAAATTTAAACTCCTGGACTACAGACTATTCCAGATTAGAGGCACATCTCTCACATACTTTTGTTGGAGCTGTCTTCCTTTGCATAAAATAATCCATCTTATTTGGACCAAGGACACATGAAAACTGTAACCTCTCTCAGTGGTTAAGGCAGTCACCTTAGACGGAAAAGATCTGTGTTCCAATTTCTGCTCCAAGGACCGTTTCTGAATTTCATCCAGTAGGTATTACTGGTACCCCATTTTTTCTTCTGTTATTTCAAAAAGGATGAACCCCCTACTATATGTTCTTGTGTCTTCCTTTGGGGGATTATTCTAGAGCATAAATCTTGAATTAAGATAAACACCACCACAAAAGCATTTTTAAGACAGGTAGAAATTTGATAATGTTTATTCACAGCATTTTCCAATGGTAGTCAAATGCCTCAAGCTAAAAATAGCATTCTATTTTTAAGCAACACAGCATCAAGCTCTGTAGCTCCAATTTTAAGATGCCTAGCTCTCTTCAGGTGTTTTTCAGGGATACATAGGTATCAAACACTGGATTCACAGTTGCAGTAAGAAGAGCAAGCTTTAAGATTTTACAGTACTCAGCATCACAATGCCTTTGGAGTTTGATCCAAAAATAACCTAAGCTAATGCATGAAACTGAAAAAAAGCAAGAGAAGATCGACCCCAAAATGTGATTGCTAGTTAAACTTTTTTCTCATTGCCACTGAAGATCCTGCTCCTGCAGTCCTTGTGGAACTGACTGACGTCAGTTGAGGTTTTGGCTGTTTAAAGGCAGTGTTGGCACACTAAAAACTTGTTCAAGAACAAAACCGAGTTAAGTTCTGGTGATCTGGCATTTCAAGAAACTCCATAATATACCAAACCTGGTATCAGGAAAATAAGAAATATAATCTATTTAAATGAAAATGGTTCTTCATTTGCATTAGTAAAGAAGGTCATAAACCCCTTAAAATACTTGAGCATAAAGGCTCTGGAATTTACAGAGACTTACTCTGGGTTTTAGAGCAACTGGGTGCATGTACACAAATTAAGAATCATACCAATTCCATCTGCAGTGTGGACTTGGGTTCAGACATGCAGGGGGTGTAATGATTGATTTACTGATGTTAGAGTAGGATCATTTTTTTTTTCTTTGTAGGAACACAGATAATGAGCGGATTATTTAAGAGTACATATGCATAACATAATGCATAGCATCAGACAGAAATAAAAATACTGCTGAACATCTCTCAGAACTGGATCACTTAAAAAACTTTTTTTAAAAAAATACTTTTTGAATAAACTATGCATTACACTGATTTCTAACACTGCCATAGCTTGAGTTCAGATAAAGAAAGTTCTAACAGATCAGGTAGCATCCAAATACTTCAGCTGTAACGTTTCATTATATACAAGCCCCAAAGCTCTCAAGGGTATTCGGAGTTCAACAGAGGACTTGGTCACAAAATTTAAAATTATTTCTCTTGTGATGCCCAGGTCTGTCAACTCTTGAAGCGATCTACAGACATTTATAACTCCACCTTAATACCTTGAAATAATTACGTCTCTAATACTGTGGATTTTTGAATATTGTTTCCAAAACAAGGGCTTCTTAGCAACAGCTTGAAAAGCAAATAAAAAGGAAGGGATGGTGTCAGGATGGGATTACATAAACTTCTTAATTCCTGATTCCATTTGTACTTGTGCATATATATGACTATATTTATTTGTCCATTTAGTAGTCCAGCATGCAAAAATGTGTGCTCTTCTACCTTCTCAGCTGCTCTTCCAGTCACTTTTACCAGCACAGCTTTTTTTTTTTTTTTTTTTTTTTATCAGGCTAAGAGGTTATGTCCATTTCTTTCAGATAGAAACCAAGCAAACATGATTTAAAAATTGTCAGTTCAACATTAATGTCATAATGATACAATCTACAGTTATTTACCAAATGAACTCAGAAACTAAATCTACTGCAGAAGTGTAGTTATCTCCTTGAGACATTTTTCATCATAAGCACAAGACATTTGTGTTCCAGTAGGTGCCCTTCCTGTCACTGCCAAGTAGAGTTTAAAGAACTTTGATCCACAGAGCCACTAAACAATCTAGATATACCCATTTAAGCTTTTCTCTATTCTGAGAGAAAATTCTTCAGCATGTTCTTTAATGGAAAGCAGAATTTCAGAATTCTTCTTCACCTCACAAATTTTCAGAATGTGCAGTAAAGCCCAATTTTCCCCCAAGCCTACAGGCAGGATAGCCTGCTCTGTATTTACACTGGATTTTCTTTTGTCCATCCACTTTTTTGTTTTCAAAAAGTTGACAAAGCTTGTCTTTTTTTCCTTTTTTTTTTTTTTTATACTGATGATATTTAATGTATGGCAAAGACAGTTAGGGGAGATCTTAACTATCATGCACCTACCTACACACAGAAATCCACACAGTTCACATCAATACATTTGATTCAGAGATGGGAAGGAAACCGTAATAACAGAAGAACATCAAGTTATCAGGGTTTTGCTTTTTTATTTTTATTACAGTCTGCAGCATAGTAAAAACGTAAAATTTGATACACCCATAAAGTGCTTATTTTCAAAACCCTTTCAAAAGCCTTTCATGAATCACACACAGTACTTAAAAGATGATGACCCACAGACAAACAGCTGGGCTATTGGCAATTTACAGGGAAGTTTGTGCAGTCCGAGATGACATCAGCTAGTTCTTTTGAAAGTGGGTACGTTATCTGACATTTAAGTATTACATATTCTGGTTACTCAAGAAGAATTTGGAGTAGTTCATCCTACTGTAACAATTAAATGACAGATATGCTGAATCTAGTAAACATGAAGCCAGTTCTCAAACTTATCTTGATGGTAAATGTATGATTTTGCAAGAGAAACAGATAGGAATGAGACTTGACAAGGGAGGGGAGAAGAGGTTAGCAGTCATCTCACCACCCTAACCTTTTTGTATACTGAACTTCCTTGCAGTCTTTACAGAAACAGATGTAATACAAGCTGCTCAGAAAATTCTAGCCACATTTCCAGAAACAGAACTATACAAAGTCAAGAGTGGATTCTTAATCCTTACTGCTATGTTAAGTAGATCTGAAACAAGAATTTCTCAAACCTAAAGAAATTATTTTTTCATAAACTAGTTTCTGGATGACTATTATGACTTCAAGTGTAAATCCAATAAACCTATTTTTAGTGAGCTATCAAATAAAACTTTAGTTGGTGGTTATTGATGAAGAATTAATAAAGAGGATGAGATCAGGAAAAGAGTTCATGAATAAAAAGTAACAACTATGGAAAAATAACCCTTTAAAATGGAATCTTATGCTTTCTTTGTGTAAATGGCAATTCATTATTTTCATGTTACGTAATGTTACTTCCAGTAAAATCCTGTACCAAAAAATTATTAATACTTACATATGCAGTCACTCTGAAGACTGTAGAAATAATTTGTATTTCATTAGTTTCAGGATTCTTTTGAACACTGAAATACAGGGGAATAAATACATACTTAATATGTACAGTAAGCATGGATTATTAAAACCTTCATTTATTAAATGCATTTTAACATATGCACTGTGTTCTCATTCAAATTTGATCAAGTTCATATTAATAGTTAAAATTCAACTCATGTCACACTGACAATAAAAAGGTGCATTGACCATTGTTAGATAATGTGAATGTTATGAATGTATCTAGTCATCTGAGTTGGTTTCACTGTTTTCAGCTACTAAATCACAGCAATACTACCCAGGCCTAGATGACTCCAGTATAAAGTCTGCATTTTGATAGCTATGAAAAGTTATTAAGCTAAACATTTTGTAAAAATCTTTTCACGTATTCTTTGAGAAAAAAACTTGCAAAGTGAACTTCTTTAATACTGACTACAAGAAGTAGTAGCAGTACAGGTGAAGAAATGCAGACTTTTGCTCATTTTTAATCAATATATAATTATAGTTTAGGCTACTTTTTCCTCCTTTGTAACACTGTATATACAGACAGCTATGCAACTTAGGATAGTATTAGTTCTGAATTTTTGTATTTCCAGGCTGTGTTTGTCGTGAAGACTGCCATTTCTTCTATCATGACTACTAATAACACTACGATATTATTGCAAAGCATCCAGCCATCTCTACATCTTTTAAATTTAAGTATTTTTAAATGTATCATTTTTCCTCAGATCTGCTTTAAGTGATGCTTACATTTCTTCATAAATTAGATCATGTAACTTCTATTAATGTATCTGATTTCACAGATTCCTGTTTATGATAAATCGTTGTGGAGCAGTTGGCACTTATAAATTCCATACTTACACAGTTCTAAGAAATGCATAGATCAAAATCTGCCTTGTCACAAACAAGTTCAGTTCCCAGGAAAGATCCCAATATAGCCAAGTTGCTAGAGGATGTGTGTTAAACACAGCCCAGTTGTACACTGTACCAGCTCCAAGCCGCCTGTGACAGCAGTCCTCTATTACCACTGCTTTTGCAAAGCTTCTTTTTATAAGAACAAAAAAACCCCAAGTCAACCAACATCTTTGTTGATTCAATCTCTCCAACCAATAAAAGAAATTGACTCTCCAATTAACTGATTTCATCTATAGAGTAATGACACAGTCATGTATGAATTAAGCCTATACTGTGAAGTTGATCTTTCCTGTGGTAAGTCACTAACAAGGCTTTCTCAGAATTTTTTGTTGCAGCTGACATGTTGATATACTCAACAGTGGATTAAGATGGCATTGCTGAAACTGGTACTGGCCTCAGCTGTCTGCCTTACCACCCCGCTAGAGATTACTGCCTTCCCAGCAGGGACAGCTCAACTGGTTCATGACTCAACTTCTGACCACTGCAGTTTACAGACCAGCATATTAAGATAAACTAATATGGATGTCCGTTTATGCTAATGCTCTGGGCTGTAAACTGCAGCAGTTCAGGAACTGTTTAAGCATCTCTGATGAAAGAGTGACAACTTTCAGAACAAGGTTAGTGGGGTTAGCACTTTCTACCATATATCACCACCCCCAAAGGCTACAACTGTATTTAAATTACTCTGGCTTCATATTCTTGTGTCTGAAAACAATGCTTTCCATTTCTAGTTTCTTCATTTATATGTTATATATATATATATCTAAGATAACAAAGTAAGGGGTGATAGAGAATAAGTCTTCCTCTTTAATCCACTGCTTTGAGAAATTTTCCCCTTGTGGTTAGCTTCCTGTAAGTCATTTTTCAGACGGAGTGTTTATTTCTAGTACTTTGGTTAATTTTTAAGGCAAAATACTATATCTGCCAAAATCAGATGAGATTCTTCCCTTGCTTCCCTTTACTTGAAAGAAACCAGGAGGTTGACTTTGACAAGCTCGCTTGCTCTATTTTTTTCTTTTTTTCTCCTAAAAGATTTCAGAAAAAACCCTACATTGTCTTCTTGAAAAGGAACATATTTCCTTTAAGATAGTCTTAATATTCTCCTTTGTTCTTTCAAATTGTTAACTTCTGAACTATTAATTGAATATGGTAATTCCTTCATCATTTTAATGTGCATCTATTCTCTTTTTATGAAAGGCAAACTTCTTTCTCGTCTCTCAATTCACTTTCAGTTCTATTTATATCCTAACCTTACTGGCAATATTTTATTAGGCTTTCCAAACATTAAAAGAACAACTCAATGCTTTCACATAAATTAATTTATCCTGGGAGAAAGGGCATGGAGATGGCACAGAAGGAAGAAGAGAACAATGACTACAAGATACTACAGCAGCTGTCACTATGGAAGGGACACTGTCAGAAAAATCAGGGGTTAGGTACAGAAGACAAGATTTATCAACACAGATTCATATATTTTAATTAACAAGTTTTTGTTATGTAAATGTATTCTTTAACTAAACCAAAAGTACTACAACAAGGATTCTGACATTATTTAGCTTACACAAGATACAACACAACGCTAAAATTTTGGATGGATTCCACTGGTCAGACGACTTACTGCTGGATTACTAACAGACAAGAAGGTGTGCAGTAATTCATTAGGAAGTAGTTATTATTCCTTTCACAAACAAGAAAATGTCTGCCATTTAGTAGTTGTATTTAGAAGTCCCTAGCTGTACTTGTAAAACATCTAGAGTGGTTAATTTCAAAATATTACTGCATTCTCTCATAATAAAGCAACATACATGGAAATGCTTTAATAAAATGAAATCTCAAACCTTTTGATGCTATTTTGAACACTAGTGGCTTTGAGTTAGAACTCAGGAAAGCCAGAAGAAAGGCTGTAAGAAGGAGAAGTGGGGAAAAGTTTGTAATAGGTCTGCCACTTCCGACACTAAAGACACCTTTGTGGAACTCCTCATCCCAAGGCTTTTTTCCATAAGAAAAACTTTTACAGGATCAAACCGTGGTGGTTTATACCTCTATAAGGATATCATGATTAGAATAAGTTCATCTGTGGGGCTAACTTTTCAATGCACATCAGCTAGCACCTGATAATTACTATACTATCCACTTGTTTTTCACGAGCCTTCTGAGGCCTCAAGACATAAAAATTAAAGCTTAAGAGGAGTACACTTGACAGGATTTTTTTATACTGCAAAAAGTTCTTAATATCACTTTACAAAGAGTAGAAAATATCCAATGCAACTGCAATCCAAGGTGAAATGAAACCAGATGCAGAATAGCAGTCTAGGAAAGAAGAATTTAAATTCAACAGGAATTTGAAGGTGAACTGTTTGGTAAACAGAACTTGAGAGACCGCTACTCTCATTAACAATTGTTTACTGAAAATAAAAGCCATAAGAAAGTAATTTTCATTGCTTTATTTTCTGGTGTACTTTGTGCAAAAATGAAGTAGGGCACAGCATGGACTAGAAATCATAATACTGTGGCATGAGTGTCCCTCTTCAGAGCTGCATTGCTTATCCTTTCACTGGCTTTTTTTCTCTTAAGATGGTGGTAACAAAACAGCAACATCATTTTGGATAAACTGCAGGCAGGGGAAAATGAGACAAAGCAGGAGACAACCATGACTGTGAAGGGGGAGGGAAAGTCTGAAATGTCAAGATCAAAAGCTTTTCTCATGGGATCAACAGAGAACTTATTATCAAAGGAGAAAAAGAAAAGATTTAGTTAAATTGTGAGTTTCTTTTTAAACTCGTAGTGAGTGTTAACACCAGCTCCACTGGCAGTGAGAAACCAGTAGACATTTATAGGTGCAGAAATGGAGAGACATATGGTAGATAAATATTGAAGATCAGTTGTGTCACATAAACTGAGTAGATGTACTTCAAAACTTTGGAGGCTAGAAAACAAGCTGCCAATGGGAAAAAAGAAACCAAACAAACACCCAAAAACCAGAGAAATGGATCTTGATAAGTTTTCTCCTGGTATTATATAGAAGTAGCACACAGAAGAAAAATCACAGAAATATATAAAGGGTCAATAAAGAACAGGTTGAGGGTAAAGAAAAAGCAAATCTTGAAAACAGGATGAAATTATGGGGAAGATTTTTGAAGTTGCTTTTTTTTTTTTTTTTTTTTTTTTAAGTAACAAGAACTACTTGGCATCCTTGTCAAATTTTACAGCAGGAAAAGGAAAAAGAAGGGGAAAAGTTTTAAGGAGATAAGAAGGTAAAGAAAAGGAGTGGCTTAGAACAAAACTTGAACATGTTTAGGAGAAAACAGCAAAGGGAAGCAATAAAGTGAAGGAACTGATTGGATTTGTGCTTTGTCCTAGGTCAATTCAACAACACAAGGCAGAAACAGCTGTAGTCAATGCAGAGTCAGATAAGGCCAGGGATTAGAGTAACAAACAGCTTGTTTCAAATGCAGAGTGAATGATTTAAAGGGAAGGTAGAGCTGAAGCACTGATGGATCAGTTTATGTCATATTCTGTATTTCTGAAGAAGCCACCTGATTTCCATCTACCTATGGTATTCATACTGATGGTATGAAATATCAAAACTAATCACACTAATAAGAAAGCTCTGGTAACTAATCACTGTATTCAAATTAATACACCAAGCAATCTAAGTTCATTATTGCTAAAAAATCTTTTTGGAATATGAACAAAGCTCAATTTCTCTGTTTCAGTGGTTTCTCTAGAAGTATTGACTGTTCTACTGCTACTTTAATAATTTATTTTAGGTGACTCTGTGAAATAGCATGTGATTAAATCAACTTACACGCCAAAAAGCACTGATGATTAGGAAATCTGAAAGCTGCTTAGAAGATTTGTGAGCTTTTTTGGTTAAGTATTACAAAAAATTCCCAAACCCAGCCAAATATTTTGTTTTAAATATTTTGTATGGATACAGTAATTGATACACAAGTGCTATAGAAGTAAAGAAATATTCAGGTGATTAAGAATCACTGGGTCTAATCCTTTCACTGTACCTTTGTTCAGACATACACATTTTACTCTTAAGTTTATCCAAAGACATTTTAAGAACAGACTTAATGACAAGTACATCTTACACATTTTTTCCCAATATGTTTGTGTGTAATCTTAAAAGAGGAGATGAAATAATAACTGGTCATCACACCATTCCAAATAGAGATGAGAAGGAAGAAAAATATCAATTCCTGCTTTAAGCAATTTGAAGCCTTTGTAGTGTACATTGTAGTGCATTACTTAGTATCCGCATTATTAGAGTTCTTGTACTACCTCTCATTTCAGAGGTCTTCAGTTGTTTTCCATTAATATTGTTCTTTACAGTATCCCATGAACACTTATTATGAGTGCCAAAGTAATATTTCAGTAATATCATTGACAATCTTCATATTCCCAATAGTTTAGCTAGGAATGAGTCTTTGCATAACCGATTACTACGTTCCATTTCCCACTAACTAGGAAATAAGAAATTTTGTCAATCAGATATATCAAAACAGGGTAAAAAAGTTGCCTTTTTTTCTGAATTTGAACCTCTGACCAATCATCTCTAATCTCAAGGAAAAAAAAATACATACATTTCCAAACAATTCCACACACATCATTTGCCAAGTCTGGTGTGTAAGTCCACTGTTTCATGTTAACAGCCAGATTCTAACCCAGCTTTATGCTGTGAGAAGTGTATTTGTGGAATTAATATTGCCAAAATCTAACTGTATTTAAGAAAAAAAACCCAGCACAGCTGGAATAAAATATATACAGAACTAAAAATTTCAACTAAAGTATTTCAATTTTAAAATCCTAAGCCAAAAGCAGTTTGAAAGTAGTCCAAGACTTAATTGTTGATATTTTATCAATGACAGTGGGAACACAATCTGGTTCCAGTGCCATGGCACGTTTTCAGTAGATGATTACAGAAACAAAAATCTTTAAAATGTGAGTGAATTATAAAACATCAATGTCCATATATGTAACATTAAAAAGTTTTTATGTGGGACAGATGCCATTACAATTGCATATATTTTGCCATTGAACTACAACCATTGTTACACAGTAATAGTTGAAGACAAATAAGCTTGCAGATTGATTAAATAACAGCCCTGTTTTTGAAGCAGTACCACACAATAAATTTACACAAATCAACATAAAAGTATCTATGCACAGCACATACATTTACACAATTGTGTAAAACAGAAAACACTCACCTCACCAAGTCTTTATATAAAGCTTTTGTAGTTTCTAAGTATGGGCCAACTACATCTTCAAACTGGCAAAGAGCTCCTCCAATGCAAAGATGCTTAAAAAGACAGAACAGAAATTCCTTGCGATCCAGTTGACTGAATAAGTCATAATGGTCTGAATCTTCCAGAAGCAAGACCTTGTGGAACAAGAAAATAACAAAGAAATCAAATAGAAGAAAATTTCTTATTTGTGATTAAGTTTATAAACAATGCAACTACTTCGCTGTATGCCACACAGAGTTTATGTCCATATAAAATATATGAACTAAGGATGGAAATAAATGTCTCTGTAAATCCTTCTTCCAATGATGTTCCAAATTTATAGATACAGTGTAAAGCAGAATCACTGTCAGATTTGTGCCCACAAGACATAAGGGAAGATTTTTTGAGAGTCTCATTATTCACTGGTTAATTGTTCATCACTAATGAACAATTCATCAGTAATGAAGCAGTCAGTAACCTGAAAATAATCTAGCTGTATTTGGTATGTCAATCACTGCCAATTTGTTTGTCTTTGGTAATTTGCCTACATTTCCTTTTTTACTCTAAGTTTACAGTTATCTCACATTTGTAAAGGAATTGCAAGGATCTCCCAGAGGAGATCACTCAAACTCACCTTATTCTTTACTATAGACTCTAGTGAGCCTTTACCTGTAGCCTGGATTAACCAGACAATACTATCCAGCTGCTTCCATGCATCTCACCTGCCTTTTGTTGCAATATTATGCGAACACAGAGGACTTGCTAGATTAGTCCTAACATTGCACACTGTAAGGGTGGAGAGGAATTGTAACTCAATATGGCTACAAGACATTTGAGTCACATCAGCTGAACTGCAGACGCAAACCCAGGGAAACTGGTCAAAGCTAGACAAGAGTTTATGCTCTCTGGCCCTCTTTATAACATCATTACACAACCTGAGTAAAAAGGGGTCAGGGCAGCAACTGTTGTTGATGGTCACCTCATACGTATGCCAACCCCCTTCTTCACTGGAGCAAGAGAAGATGTGGCAGGTAGGAAAGAAACACGGAGTTTTGCAGCTGAGGGCCACCCTCTGATATCAGGAGATAGACAGTTTGCTGCCCCCTGCAGTCTACCATCCTAGGGCACTGATTTAATTTAATCTGAATTTTGACGTTTTACAAGTAGGAATCACGTTCATTTCAAACAAATGCGAATCCTTCAACTTGCAAATGAAAACACACACATCCCTTCCAAGGGAAGGAAAATGGAAAAAGAGTGAAGCTCCAATCATTTCTTACTTTAAATGCTGCCTCTAATTTTCCTACATTCAATATACTTAATTATTAGAAAACAGTTCACACATACCCAACTTAGAAATAAATACATAGTATTTTGAACTGCTAGGCTACAAACCACATCTGAATTTCAAACACGAGCTTGAGTTCTCTCCTTTTCCCAGAACTTTACAAGACAGACCAGTATTTCAGGCCACATCCTGTAACCAGTGTCACTGGTTCAAATACATTGTCTTCAAAGGATTTACCAAGTGCAAATGAGTGCAACTCTATAATTAAGTACTTACGTTGATTATATATACAAGGAAGAGCAAAATCCAATTCGCCCATACTATGCTTTGCTAATACTAAACAAACATAAGTTTTAGTTTATGATGTCAAAAGAAACACTTACACTGAAGACATACATTGGTTAAGAAGGTGCCACTGTTAAAGAGATTCTTTTTCAGAATAATCTGCTCTCTGACAACTCCACTGGAGCATAACAAACAGTTTTTACCTCACGGGCCTGTTCATGAGTTATATTTAGTCCTTTTCCAGTGTTACACTGAAAAATAATTTTCCTTTTCATAGTTTCCCTTGCTTCAGTGAAAATACATGAAGATGACTTTCCTTAAATGCCTTCACATATTATATGGTCAGCATTCGTGGCCAGGAATGCTTCAGGATTTAGCTATTGAGTAAGTTCAGTTTCATCAACTACCTGGAAGGTTGGGTGAACTCACAGCTCTGCGTATCACGGGACCTTTTCATTGGCACCAACTGTTTTCCCTCCTAGGCAAGTGAGCAGATGCATTTCCCCCCCACACACATACCCAAGCACTGACTATTTGAGACAAGGGTAAGTAGAAGAAGGTTTTACCTTTTTCTCCCACCTAAAAAGGAAAGAGGGCCCACCTGGAAAACAGCCATTGCTTTCACATATTCAGGTCCTGCAGCGTCTCAGTAATTTCTATTGCATGGCTATCAATGCCCATTTTTACCATGGAAAGTAGTATTGTCAGGAAGAAGTATACTGAAAAATGTGTCCTTATGGTACCTAATAGAGTATGAAAAATTATAATAAGCTATTTATTGCTATACTGACCTTCCTTAATTCATCAGAGATGAGAATATCATCGTAATAGTCATCATAACATTTCACAATATCTCCAGTTTCTCTAACAACTCCTCCAGAGTACAGTCGATCAAAAAATGACATGGAAATCTCTGTACAGGGCACCACCGTAGCTTCAATTTTTGTCACTTTGGAACCTGGAATATATAGGAAGGCTTCACTCCAAGTCTCTTGCAATAAATAATAGGAGAATTTCTATATACTAATGGTTTTACAGTAATTTGTAATTAATTTGATGTAGTATGGAAATAATCAACTTCTCTAAATGGTTGTGTGTGGCATATTCTCTACAAAAAATACAGATCACATAAATACGACTCAATCCCACAGTCCTTCAAAAAACAAAGAAAGCTAAGAAACAAGTGTAAAGAAAACATTAACTTCATCTAAATGGTACCTTCCATTCAGGCTCAAGTGTCTGCTCCCCCTGTTGGTATCAAACAAAACAAGTAATAGATGAAACATACTGGAACTCAACATTAACCCTTAGAAATCACATTCCACAGCTTCAGCCTTAAAGAATCTGTGGACAAATAGCAGATTCCGTGTGATGAAGTACAAAACTGTAGGTTCCCTTGATGGGAGAGTGGTCAACAACATCACAATATTAAAAGGCTTTTGACCATACAATTAAAGATAAAATAAAGTGGTGCCCTGACAAATTGGCCTAAAGGATCACTAAAGACTAGCATTTAGAAAATGTCCAAATTTCACTCTAGGAGACAGTATTTCAGGAACAGAAACATACCAAAAAGGGATGTATGAACCATGATGCTTCCAAGAGCAGCTATCATTTCATTCTGAACCTAATCTTCGCAAGAGCAGCATAACGTAAAATTTCTCTTGCCCCCACACTTCCTAAAAGTCTTTAAGATTTCTCTCATATGTTATTACATGAAGATTATTTATTCATAGTTTAAGTAGCATTGGCATTTTGGTATCTAAACCCAGGCAAACTGTACCACCTATCTGATCAACACTAAGAAGAAAAATTAAAGAGAAGTTACAAGCTGATGGCTTGAAAATATGTCTACTTAAGATAAAAATACTGGCATTAAATATATTATTATTTTATTGGGCCAATGTGATGTAAAGAAAATCAGCTATAGAGAAAAGCTCAGCATTTAATTGGTTGGCTTCACATCTGTAGACATCGTTATGAGAAAGGGTACCTTTTATTAAAGAAAAAAAGTTTAGGACATTCTCCTACCTGTCCACATAATGACTATCAAAAAATAATCAAATTATGTAACCAAAATCACAAGTCAGAAAAAAACAGGACTTACAGCCTCATAACCTAAGGAAAAACCCAAACTGTTCTTTATTTATTTACTTATGCTCCCTCTCACCCCCTCACCTACAGACACCTCTGACTTCTAATTCTCCAGCTTCCTTTCACAAGGATGGAATTTTTATTTTACAGAGGTTTAATAAGAGCTAAATAAGCCTCTAAAATATAAATTATTTTGTGAAGACATATGAATCAAAAACTGAGTCAAGACTAATAAAAATCAGATGTTAAATGACTTGAGAAAAGAGAGACATCTTATATTTTCCCAGTTATTGAGCTCAAGGTATAAGAAACTGAGATATTTATAGGCTTTCAAATTGTTAGGATTTTATGGGGGGAGGGGGAGGAAAGGAGACACACTTCTGCTCTGAAACAAGATTTTATGAAAGCTTTCATCAGGAAAAAAAATCAAGAGCTTTGTAATCTATTCAGTAGTTCAGAAAACCAAACTATAAATGGAAAAGTTTAAATATCCTGGAAGCTTCTATTCTCCATTTGAGAGGTGAGGTTTGAAATTGGAGATTCAGAATTTCCTGGAAAAGAGTGACCAGTTTTAATAACACTGTAAAAGTGAGCAATAAAATAGGAAGAAGAAACGCTTTGACAGCTCTGCAAGTGAAAAACAAAGAGCCGAGAAGTACTGAAGCAGATTAAGCTTCTTACAACAGCTAGCTCTGGAATATCTATAAAGTGCTGCCAATATACTTTTAAATGAACACGTTGGATACCTAGTATGGGGCAGATAAACCCTGGACTAGGTATATTTAGAATTCTTCCCAAAGTTTAAGAAAGATTTTTACCTCAGGGAAGCACCTTGCAACTTATGAGTTACAAACCATTTTATATAGAACATACACAAAGCAAGTTCAGTGCTCTGTACCAAGATGGTATTTCAAAAGTTAAAGGTGGAGGTTGATAATTTATAGGTTCAAATGACATCTAAAATTTTCGCAAATGATAACCTATAAGAGTAGTCTAAAAATTTACTGCTTTAAGATTACCTTCCAGATTTTAAACCTCCATTCCAAAGGCAAGCAATCATTAGAGGTTCAAGTACATATGGAAGCTCAAGAATCTTAGGCAAATACTACATTTTTATTTACACAAAAAGACAGTAACCCTATCCCTTTGAAGATAACTTTTCAAGTGTTAATTGAGCTTAAGCAGATACAGTCCTGCCTCCCCAAGACTGCTGACAGGTGCAAGGCCAGTAATGTTTCCAAGGAAAAACTACTATTTAGTTTTCATTGCAGCTATTTAAAAATGCAAGACTCAAGACATAAGTTGGTATGCATCAGATTTGTTCCTTTTGCTGCTTCTATTTTAGAAAGATGAGAGTAACAGATGAAGGGGGGGCTTAAAGCACATAACAGAACTATCAGGTATTCTGCCATGCAGCCAGGAAGAGGGGAAAAAATATTGCTACTACAGCAGGCAAAAAAGTATGGTGTAAGAATAGGTAATTAAATATCTGTCTGATCAGATGAAGCAGACTAGACAATATCCTTGTGTATTGTTTACCTAAAATGTTATATTTCAAATACTGATAAAGCTGGAGTTCTTGAGACAATGTACTATTGTGAGATACTGCCAGGAATCCCAACATGTGGGGGACCTGAGAAGAGAGGTACATGTTGCATTCCTTGGGGACCCCATGTTTTATGCCACCTTTTGATCTAACAGATGGAGACTGAGGATATTATGGTCTGATAATATTAAGGTGAGGATGAAAAGCAGTCAAGAGAAGAATAAATTAGATTAGACACAGGAAAAAAAAAAAGTAATAAAGACCTTTTAGAAACAGATTTTACAAAAAAGGGGACCACAGCCTGGAAAAAGACAAAAGGATTATGAAAACAAACTCTCTTGTAAGGTAATACTATATTGGTCTTTTATATAATGCTGACATTTTTCTGTGGATCCATAAATACTTTCTGCCCAAGCTCATGGTGGGGAGAAGGGAGGTTTTTAAGAACCTATCTAAACCTCACTTATATTATGTATCCAGAATATCTCCTCCCTGAAAAAAAAAACCCTAAAATTTTTGTTTGCAGGACAATAAATACAGTATTTGAATCAACATAGATAATGTAATTTTCTTCATATTTTCTAAAAAGCAAAATAAACCCATTTCCAGTATTTTCTTTCAGGAACAGGAACTTGTTTTTAAAAGAGTTACTCCACAGTGGTAAGTAAATTATATACCTGGATTAATATACTGGCATGTCTGAAGAAGCAAATACTGGAAGACGAATTCTAACCTCCTCCCACTCATAGCTAATTCTTACTATATTTTCAAAAAATGCACATGAAGACTAAGTATAGAAAAATGTCCCAACATTCCTCACCAAAAATAGGCAAAGAATGGGAAGATGAAATTTTAAGAGCAAATGGGGTATACCAGCTGTTCAGGATTTAGAAAGGGAACCCTTCCAGTCCTCAGAACAAAATGCATTACTTCTGTGCTGAGGAAGACCGAGCAGAATCAGGAGTTAAGCTGGGATACTTGGCAAGTGACCCTCCGCTCTTAACACGAGGTATGTAACCTACTGACCTTCACTACAGGGACTGGCAAGTCACAGGCTAGACAGATAGCCTAAAAAAATTCTTGCCTAAAGCAGGAAAAAGTTTACCCACAGTTTGAAATATATTTATTTTCTTTTTGCTTGCCAGAGTGAAAAATAGGTACCTGAAGGGGAACTTGAGATATTTTTTGCATCTTGTATATTTCAATGGTTTTAACAGCTGAGTACAGTGTTTGGAAAATGGATTTTGCTGACAAAAAGGTGGCAATGTCTAGTGTCATTGTATATAGTGAGGAAAACTATGCCAATTCCAGAGAACTGAAATGGAAATGATGGAAAATTCCCAAAGCTCCATTAAATATTTACACACAGTAAAGTATTTTCAGACAAACCTGAAGAACTGAGGACCTCCCACTACCCCCTTTTAAAATATTCCTAAGGAAAATCACTTTGGCAATATCAAGAGTTCATATTATACACAAAATCCCATTACACTATCACATGCAATTTCCATGAAATTGTGTGTCATTTACATAATCAAAAATACGGTTGCAAAATGGTTGCATAAAATCATGTGCTATTTGCTTTTGGTCTTTCTCCTTCAGTGTCTCATCTCCATCTACAGACATAATCAAGGTTATAAACTGATAATGATATGGCAACAAACTATAAGTCAACCTTATGCCCATGACTGCAACTAGAGCAACCTATCACATGGCTCTCCTTCTGTGTCTAGATCACTTTTGTTGTGCAGATAGCATATTTGCTCGGGGCTGTGCTCTATCTAATCTTCTGTTCTCTCAACTTTAATTTGTAACAGAGCAATAATCTCAGATCTGTCCTAAGTAAGGTTGTTGGATCTGTAGAAGAGTATCTTTCTTCAAATATTGTCTGAATAAGGTAGTACTATAATTCCACAATGCAGTTGATCATGCCTGGATACATGATCAGGTCAGTTGGATGTCACAGATCATTTAAAACCACCTCTAGTAGCTTGGTTTATGTATCAATGCAGGGGTCAAGGGAAAAAAAAATATAAAATGTGACAACTTAAACTAGGTAAGAGTATTTTCTTATTATTTAGTAAAATAAGTCATTCTTTAAGATATTTCAACTAGGTGAAAATGTACATATATGAACTGTCATTATTACAAAATGGTAGAGGAAAATAGTTACAAATAAAAAAATTTATATTACAAATAAAAAAAAATATACAAATAAAAAAAAATTTATTTAAGGTTAATTTATTCTAAATTTACCCAATGTAGTCCATTGTCCTGAAGCTGAGAGCAACTTTAAGCTGGAGTTCACATTTTGATCGTTAAAAAATGCCTATAATATTCAAATAAGAGAACACAAGTTAATGAAATGAAACATAAAATCATATTTTATAGTGCCTTTGATACTTTCAAAGCAAATGATAAGGATCCACTTAGTAAGTAGGTTCTGTATGATCTTTCAGTTTGGGTACTAAGTATCAGACCACCAAATACATGTTTTTGTAACTTTGTGTAGTCAGTGTCTTTTATATACTCAAGATATCTGCATGTACATAATTATATATGCAATACTAACCTTTTACAGTAAAGCATTTTTAGTCCAAGAACACATAAAAAGGTTATATGTAATCTTTGGAGGTACAGAAAATGGAGGAAGAGAAGAAACAATTCTATCTCTCCATGCAATGTTGTTGAAGTAAAAAGTGAAATGCTAAGTATGATTATAGAATTTACATTTTGTAAATAAGTTTGAAGCTTGGAGAAGTGTAGAGACACCCAAAAGTTATTAAACAGTTACAGAAGAAATCCTAAAGTTATTTAAGGGATAGAGAAGATATTCCACAGTAAGACCTGAAGTATTCAATCTCATTGATTTATCAATTAAAAAAAAAGGAGACATAGTAATGTTGGTAGCTGACAAGTTTAAATGATAGATAAGCCAATTAAGAAAACCCAGACTTATGTATATGCATACATGTAGAGTGAATAATCATTGAAGAAGCTGCTAAGAAAATGATGGATTTTTCAGTCTCTGCATCTCCAAATCTCTTTACCACCTCTCTGGGATACAGAGAGATCAGACTATACAATGTAATGGTCCCTTTGTTCTCAATTAATTCACAGCTACTCAGAATTCTCATTTCATAGTGATATTTTCACATTGTTAATTCCAAAGAACCAAGCATTGAGAATGCAAATGCATATTTTGTAAGCTTCAATCATTTGAAATGTTTATCAGTGGGAGATGAAATATTGGTTATTTCTATGTGAATTTCTTTAAAATACAAACAGGTTGAATTCCTTATCCAGGTTAACAATATAAAGTAGACATACAACAAATCAAAGAGTTGTTTTTAAAAGAACGGATGTAATAAAACCACAGTTTTGGGGTTTTTTTTTCCTGTCTGCAAATAGATGAACAGATTGGACTTTGCAGACAGTAAAAGTGGAGGTGACAAAACCAGCAAGAGACTTGAGTCTTCAAAACCTGAAAGCCCAAAATTCCAGTATAAAACAATGGTATCCAATAGATTTAAAAATATTTTCAGATAATATAGTGCATATGCACGTCTAATTGCATGGTGTATTTACTGTTAATAGCTGTGAGCACGGGTACCGACTGCATGTACACTGTTTAAAGTCTCTCCCAGGTGGACTTCCCAACATTAAATGCGGTGGCCAAGAGAAGCATCCAGTTCAGGTTCCCATTCTTGTGAATCTTGAATGACTAAATTGTTCCCTCTTAAAACATGGGTAACATTAGCACAGACTGAAATATTTTTTCTGGACAATACAGTTAACCCACAAAGTAAGACTTGAGCACCACACCTAAATCACCTACTTTCAAGGAGACAGTGAGCAGGTGCACAGCATGCTAACACTGCTGCAGTGCTTGCCATTATGCAGTTTTCCAATAGCTGTATTTTAATGGAAAAAAAGTCAACTTAAAATATAAGGGATTTAGAACTACCATAACAAATTCATCCTTCTGATGGGGCTTAAACTGCTGGTCAAAACTGAATGCTTGAGCTGTGATCCTGCCTTGCATGGACCTGAAATGGAAAACCGAGATTAAATCTTCTGCAGACATACTAGGTACTTACACACTCTGAGAGTTTTCCTAGGTACACTACATAAAGTCTTATTCTGACCAATAATTACACTTCTTTTTCTTTTTTTTCATTCTCACTTATAACCGCCTCCCTCCCGTCCCGGCAGGGTGAGGGATGCACAACCGCTGCTCAAGCAGGGTTAGAGCAACGCTGCGAAGCTGAACTGGATCTTGGCTAACTTTGGACCGGAAGATGCCTTATACCCCACAACAAGCGTTGCCTGAAAAATCCCGAGGAGACTTCCAATTAAAGCGGGGGGCGAGGAATAAAAATAATTAAAAACAAAACAAAACAAAACAAAAACAACACAGGGACCCTCTGCCCCCAGAGCGGGAGCCCTGAGGGCGCGGTGGCGGCCCCGGCCCTCAGCCCGCCCGCCCTTCCCTCCCGCAGCGGGCCTTCCCCCTCCCACCATTTGAGGAGTCGGCCCGCGGTGTCCCTGTTCTCCAGGCAGGAGAAGGTTTTCTGGGGCAGGGGGCGGAAGGCGAACGCCGCCGCGCAGCGCCGATCCCCGGCCGACATCTTCCCGCGCGGCCGGCGGCTCGGCGGTTGCCGTGGGAACGGCGCCGCGCAGGCCGGGCTCTA